AAGAGGACGAGCTCAGCGGATCTAACAAATAGCACTGATGAGGAATGGCTGGACATAGCAGGATAACCAAGAGAAGGTGGCTCCCCAGAAACAAAGATAGAAGGATAGAGGCCTAAGTCAATCTGCTGAATTTGATCATTTGAAGTCCAGGGTTACCATAAGTCCAGATTCAGTTTTATCATGGAGACAAGGTTTGTTGTACCCGATTGAAGACTGAAGGATTCAGATATTTGGATAGCAGTTGTGTGCTGTTTTTCAAGGAGTCTAGCTTTTAAGGAAGTCATCGAATCAGAGGACAAGTTTTAGTTGGTTTGTTTACTCTTTGTTTTTGTACTAAAATAGAAGGGTCTATGCTTCTAGGCTGCGGGGAAATAGCCAGTAGGAATTTGAAAGTAGAAATTGTTTTTTGTTTTGCAGCAGGATCTACCCTGTCACCCAAGCTGAGTGCAGTGGCGTCATCACGGCTCAATGCAGCCTCGACCTTCTGGGCTTAAGCAGTTCTCCTGCCTCATCCTCCTGGGTAGCTGAGACCACAGGTGTACACTGCCACGCCCAGCTAATTTTTAATTGTTTTGTAGAGATGAGGTCTCACTGTATTGCCCAGGCTGGTCTTGGACTCAAGTGATCCTCCTGCCTCAGCCTCCCAAATTGCTGGGATTATAGGCATGAGTCATTGGGCCTGGCCTGAAAGTAGAATTTGGAAGAGCCTTAAGGATATCCCTAAGGGGACTGAGGGATGAATCTTGAACATAATGCTCCTCTTCCTCTATCCCTAGAAGTAAAGACAAGGATAGGTGCGAGAGGTCCGTTCTTTCATAAGTTTGGAAATGAGAAGTCAGGGGTTCAAGACCAAATTTTCTCTGTGAAGCGAGGCAGTGAACTAAGAGAGAAAAGGAGGTAAAGGTTTTGAGAAAACCAAGATGCACTGAGGTAAATTGCTTTACCCTAAGGAATATTGCTGGATAATTGGTTTGAGCCAGGACTAGATCTTAATTTTGAAATTGACATGAAGGTGTCATATTAGTGATCTATGAACCACCAGTCCTTGGTACCTATCAGAGGCTCAGAAATCTTAATTAAATATAGCCAAAATTTTATAGTGACTGATTCAAATTTGAATACTGGTTTTAGCTAATGTAGTAGTAATGAAGTGATTTGGGAGTAAGATTTTTCTGGTATCTTATTGCTGTAGAAATTTTTCTTAACAGTTACAGTGTTTTCTTCCAAATCCCTCATTTCTCTGTTCTGGCTTATAAAGAAAACAGCTGAGGACTGAGAGGTCATATTTGAATTGCTCTTTATAATACTGTAGGCTACTCATTGCTTAGACTTCACTAAGCTAGAAATCACAAGAGCATAAGCTACTCTTAAAATTTATAAGAATGTAAAACATACCTGACCTCAAATATCTTGAACCTTACTTTGGCTCAAGTTTTCTGTTTAACTTTTTCTTTGATACTGGTATTTTAATTTTTACAACAGATAATGATTTGCAAAAAAAAAAGCTTCCTGGATATTATTGGTTTCTTTTTTCTAATGCCACTAGAACTGCCATCAGATTAAAATATTATCTACATTATTGTTCGGATTAGTGGAAAAATATGACAGCTGTCTGGGAGAGAGAGATGAACTTGTGAACTCTTAAGTATACAGATGGCATTAACATTCTTTCTATTATAATTTAAAACCGACTTGAGGTATCATCACAGCTTGAAACTTCATAAACAATTCTTCAGGTGAATGTAGCATGTTATCTAAAATTAGCTAAAAAATTAGATCTGTAAGTATATATGGAAATGAGTACTATGTATCTCCCAAAGGTTTTAAATTTTAACTAATCACTAAAAGTGAAACTAATTGTCAGCTTGCTTAATATTGTGCATTCAATTTTATGTTCAGAGCAGCAAGCTTTTTAACATGAAAATTAACACCCCCCCCCCCCCGCCGTCTAGAGAATTGGTATTTGCATATTTTGCTTGTCTGTTTATACCCTAAAAGAGTAGGCAAAACAGTTTTATGATTAACTTGGCAGAAGTTCCAGGTGATTTTTTTTCTTTATTATGAATTTCATTAAATTTTTATGCTTTTAGTTTTAAACTGACTTTGGCAGACTGTGGTTTTTGCATGAAGCAAACAGAAAAGTGTGTTGTGAAAAGAGGGTAGATTGGTGTAGGGTAGACTATCTTAACCAACCTTTCTGTTGTTGTAAAATTATTAAGCAATTCTTTTCCACAGCACATATTTCAAAAATAGATATTGCTTCATTCTATTTAATTGTTGTACTAAAATAGAAGGGTCTATGCTTCTAGGCTCCTCTAAATGAAGTAATAAATATGTACAAGCTAGCTTTGAAAATGGTTTGAGTTCTAATTTCTTTTTTTTTTTTGAGACGGAGTCTCGCTCTGTCGCCCAGGCTGGAGTGCAGTGGCCAGATCTCAGCTCACTGCAAACTCTGCTCCCAGGTTCCCGCCATTCTCCTGCCTCAGCCTCCCGAGTAGCTGGGACTACAGGCGCCCGCCACCTCGCCCGACTAGTTTTTTGCATTTTTTTTTTTTTTTTAGTAGAGATGGGGTTTCACTGTGTTAGCCAGGATAGTCTCGATCTCCTGACCTCGTGATCCGCCCGTCTCGGCCTCCCAAAGTGCTGGGATTACAGGCGTGAGCCACCGCGCCCGGCCTTGGTTTGAGTTCTAATTTCAAAACAAAGTGCTAATAATAACAATAATAATTAACAGTTACCCCAAACCTTAGAAATCATCTGTTCTGTTAAGTTGCTACTCTCATCATTTTATGGACATTTGAATAGTCTGTAAAAAAATATGTCAAGAAAGATCAGAATTATAAAAATGTTTAGGAAGAACATATAAAATTATAGGTTGTAGGTTTAAAAAAAAAAAGCAACATTTTGTTTTGAAAGAATAGCAAGTCTTTCTGTTTGAACAGAGGCATTTGAGTATCCTATTTTAGCTTTCCTGGTATTTTTTGTTTTTAACACAAATTTATGAAGAGGAAGACTATAAATGGCTATTGTATGTGTGTGTGTATCTATATATATATGGATATATGTAGGTGTGTGTATGTGTGTGCAAAGATGTGTGTGTATATAGATACATCTTCATTTCCCCAGCATACACGTGTTTGTTTGCACCAGATTTTTAAATGCATTACTTGATATTTAAGATAAAAATTTTCAAGAAGTAAAACTGAGAAGTGATTCCAAAAAGAAGTGAATGAGATAGTTAAGTGATAAATATGTTCTTTTCCATTTGAAAGCACAGAACTCTGAAAAATTGGCCACATCATCATAAATACCTAATTACCCTTACTTCTAGTGATGTTAATAATAACTGATATTACCCCTTGTTTGTATACTACTTGATGGTTTGCCCTTGCCAATATATTCTATTTAATCTATTTCTTATTTAATGTTCATTAGTGCTTTATGGTTAACATACAAATAGCACTTTATGATACCAGTTCATCATTATTGCTTTACTGGCACATTCCCGTTGAAGTATAGATATTATTTTTCTTATCTCCATTTAAAGATGGAAAGTGAAGCTCAAAGATATTAAATGAGTTTTTGTTTTTGGTATTGTATCACTATCACTGGTCAATTTTGATCTGTATTTAATGGATTTTGATAGAATTTTTAAAGCTGGGTGATATTTTAGGACGGATGTGGTATTTGGCCCCTCCAGCTACTTTGGAAAATACTTTTTTTTTTTTAATGAGATGACATAGTAGTTTAGATACTGAGAACTGTATTAACATATGGTCTTAATTGACTTTTTCACCGAATTTGCTAACTCTTTGCTCTAAACCAAGATATACTGTTTATTATCACTGTTTAAAAGCAGAAAATAGAAAAAAAAATTTATAAACATGTAAATAATGAATCAGATAAAGGGCATGTAACCAGAGCCCAGTATTGTCTTATACAGAACATCAAAAGGAAAATTTTAAATACTTGCACAGTAGAACTTCTCTGTATGGTTTTCATTATTTAAACAAAAAAATGTGAAAGGGTCTCTTTTAATATAGTAATGTTTGTATGCCATAAATTATCATTTTGTTAATTTACAGATTACACTTTTGAAGTGAATTAGAAATCAGACTGTCAATTTCTCCAAAATAGATCACATTTTATTGTGCTTTTTGAAAGTAATGAAAAAGATAAAATGATTGATTTGTTAATAATGAAAAAAAGATAGATTTTTTTTTCTGAAATGAATTCTGATTCACCAGATGAATTTACTTATAAACATTTCAAGCTTTTTCAGTGAACTGTTTGTTTTCCTACAAGAGCTATAGTTAAAATGTTGTGTTTATTATGCATTTCGTTTCTGTGAGGCTGGTAGTGTGCATTCAGATAATCATACTAGGTTTTGTATGTTATAGAACATTGTATTTACATACAGAAATTTTCCTTGTTATTTTGATGATATGTTTAAACAGTATCCTAAGAGTAAGGTGTTTTGATGCAATGGAAACTATTTCACATGGCAAGTTAGGTTACAGCTGTGTTATCTGTGTCACCATGATGTATATAAACATGAGTAGTACAGGTGTTTTCTGTGTATCTCTGAAAAGGAAGTACCTGCTCTTTCACTAAAATGCTAGAGAAATGTGAATGTGAAACATTTTTACTCTTCCTTAATTGAACCAGTCAAGGAGTCATTTTTATTTCTTGCATTTCTTTGCGTAAGAAATGCATAAGACCACTCTAAGTTATTAATAATGTGAGTTCCATGGTACACTTTAGTAAGGCTGATTTATTTTCATATAGCTATGTTCTAATTGCTATTATATTTTTTCCTTGACCTTGATGAAAATGATTCTCTTTTGTAAACTTTACAAACTAACCATGTACGTGATTACCACTCCTTTTGACCTATCATGTGTCCTGGTTTGTATAATAAGCAAATATTTCTCATCCAGTTTTTGCATCAGTAATCCAGGAAATTACACTGTAGTTTCTGATTTGTTTTCCTAATACAGGTCAACAAAGATCTCTCATTTACTTCACCACCAGCAGTCTCCTCACAACAGTCTAAGTTAAAGCAGTCAAACATGCTGACCGCTCAAGAGATTCTGCATCAGTTTGGTTTCACTCAGACCGGTGAGCCCCTTTCTTACTTTGACAATTCTTTTAAATGTTCAGATAGATGCTCGTTTTGTTGATGAATATCACTTATTTCTTTAGAAATAAAGCTCATAATGGTCGGTTTTCACACTCGACAAATTCTATTCTAGCATCTTTTTTGACCTTAAAAGCACCAAGGTTATTTCAAAAGTAAGTTTGAATTTGGTAACGGTAGATACACTGAACCTATGTGCTGTTAACAGATAATAATTTAAAACCAGCAAAACACATGAGTTTTAAACCTGTATGATGTTAAGTCTGATTCAGTTTCCCAGTTAAAGAACTCATCATAGATGGATAATCCCATGTTATAATTCATTTCAGGGAAAGCCAAGGTAAAGTACATTTTGGCAGAAATAGGATGTAACCTGTAGCGATGTCACATCCCATTAAATGGCAAATTAACAAAATATGCAAAAAAGCTTGTTAGAAAACTATACTGAATCACTGAAGTGAACTATACAATTGTTTTGACTAATGTTTTAAATGAGTTTCAATAAGGTTTTTAAAGGATATCAAAGGAAAAACATCTAAGTGAGAAATGTTTGTTTGTGGTATTGAAAGGTGACTTTTTCTTTTCATTAGCTATATGTTTTTGACAGTATTTTTTGTACTGCTGAATTTTTAGAAAGGTAAGAAAGCTGAAAATAACAAAACAATTATCTTTTACAAAAATTATATGAAAAAAATTTGAGTATGAGAAGATCAACATAATTTACTTAGAAATTTGAGGACAATATGTACCACTTTTTTACCTTGAAAGTATTAGGAACTTACATATACAAGTTATTTTAATATTGCTGTGTAGGTTACATATTATAGTGAGAAAATACTTGGATTCACAACTCTTATGCTCAACCCTGGCTGTGCCTTTTATAACCCTTATTACCTGCAAACCTTAGGCTCTTCATTTGAAAACTGAGAATGATATTCACATTATGTATTGTTGAAGTTTAAATGAGATTACACATATGAAAACACTGTAAGCATAAGGTACTATATGAATATAACATATTTATATTGTAAACATGACGAATATGTGTAAGCTAACTTTGAACTACTTTGAAATCTAATTTCAAGTCACTATAATAATTAGTAACAATTATCTCAAACCTTAGAAATGTTTAATTTGTAGTGTTCCAGATATCTGCCAGAAACTAAAGTGATAGTGTTGGCCATTGTTATTTCCAGTGGAGCTGCATCATATACTACCTCTTTAGATTGTTCTTTTCACCCTAAATAGATACTTGGCTTGGCTTCAGACCTTGTCATTTTTATAACTAGGAGGGAGGGAACCTCTCTCCACCACTCTGTCCCTACCAACTGTCTGGGAACAAACTTTTCATTCCACAATTCAGGATTAAAAGCTTAGAAGGTAAATATCTGATTGAGTTAATATATTGTTTAAAATTCATTTAAGCAGTATCTTATGTCTGTCTGCCAGCAAGGTATAGATAATAAATACAAAAACTTTTTTTCATTTTTTATAAAGGGAAAGAGCAGAGGGAATAGGTAGGAATGCCTTTGAAATGGGAAGAAGGATTACCACTGAGACAAATTAAAGGGGAAGAGGGATATGATAAAGGCAAGCCTTTCAAACTTCATGATTATACATAGGATTGGCTCCATTTCACTTCAGTTTCCATGGCCATGTAGACCATAAGAGGGATATTTATATCCCTGCACATACTATCTCAGAAGCATGACGATTAAGCCATTTGGTTACTAATATGCCTAACCGCATTTTAAGGCATAGCTTTCTTAGAAATGTCATTGAGATATCACTGAACAGAAAAGTTATAAAAGCATAATATGTGGTCAATCTCAAAATGGCCAAATTAATCTCTTTTATTAAGAAGCCAGTGTTTATGAAAAAAAAATCCTGCCTTAGGAACCAGGTGAGCTGGTGTTCAGATCTAACTCTATTTCCAAATGTGGAGTCTTGAGCAGTTTCTTCAGGCCAGAGTTTTCTCATCCCTCCAAATAAGTGAGGGCTCTCTGGCTTTGGTGAGTTTCTGTCTTAAAAAATCTGTGATTCTATTCAGTGTTCAAATCAGTTTGTAAAGTGATTAAATAATTAAGTGTTGATTGTAAAAATAATCTATTAGAATCTGAAATACATAACTACAAAAACAAATCATGTAAATAGAATGTTTAAAAATAAAAATCTCACTGAAAACCTATCTGAAATATGCAAGTCACATCTGTCGATGTTTGCCTTTGGATGGTATAAAAGAAAGCTATTTACACAGAGCTAGTAAGTATGAGCCCAGTAGCGCTCATGCTAGGAGACGTAAGAGTAAAGGTTGATTTTATATATTTGTAAGTGGGTTTACATGCTGCAGTGCTAGACTCTGAAGTGGGTTTATGTTCCGTTGTAACTTTTATTGATCTCATGCAAGATGAGTTCTAGGTAATGGAGACTACTAGAAAAGTAAGCATTTCTCTCTTCTTTGGTTTGTATTCCTCACAATTTCTAGAATACTTCATTTATTCATTCTAAAATCATTTTAAGTGACCACTTTGTTTAAAGCCCTCTATTTAGCATGTGGAGTAAATGTTACAGTCTCTGCCTTCAGGAACCTCTAGTCTGGCTAGGGAGACAAGTAAGTATGCACCAAATTAAGTCAGAATGTGACAGGTTTTGAAATCACAGTGTAAACAAACTGCCACCAGAATAAAGAGGGATAGGAGAGCTAAAACATTCTCAAACTTTATATGTTCAAATAGAACTCTTGGTTTTTTTGCCCCAAAAACCCTTCCTTCCACCTCCACTTCCCCTACTACCAAGTCTTCCTAATCCCAGTGCTCCACAGCACCATTCACACAGTTGTTTAGGGATAACTAGGAGCCATTCATGATTACTCCTTTTCTCTCGACTTCCCTCTTTCCCACTTGCCCATGCTGTATTTGGAGTTCAGCCAATCTTTCTCCCCAGCTACAAAATCCCATTGCAGTAGTCCCTGTACCTACTGCAGTAGCCCTGAATAAAGTCTTTCTTACTGTGCTTTAACAAGTATCATTGAATAATTTTTTTCTTTAACAGTACTTAGAAGAGAGCTTGGTATGGCGAGGGAGTGGTTTGAGCCTTGGTTTAACTGGGGAAGGTGAGATGAATGTGTTTAAGGTGAACTAAGTTTACAGAGGTAGATTGGGTCAAATCATACCACACTGAGGAATTCACATTTTATTCTCTAGATCAGGGGTCCCAACCGCCTGCACACACCCCCAGGTGCACAGCAGGAGGTGAGTGGTGGAGCTGGGAGCATTACTGCATGAACTCTGCCTCCTGTCAGATCAGCGACATCATTAGCTTCTATTATGAACTGCGCATGTAGGGATCTAGGTTGTGAGCTCCTTATGAGAATCTAATGCCTGATCTGAGGTGGAATAGTTTTATCCCAAAACCATTCACCTTTCCTCATCCCCTGCCCCCAGTCCATGGAAAAATGATCTTCCATGAACCTGGTCCCTGGTGCCAAAAAGGTTGGGGACTGCTGCTCTAGGTAAAAGAATTATCCAAGGAATAGATGTGAAAGGGATTCTAAAATGTATTTTTTTCTTTGAATACAGCTGGCATCTGTATGAGGAATAGGTTACTTGTATCCAGAAAAGCTAGATACAATTCCTATGAGATGCTTATTTTAAGAACTGTTCATTAAGCTATTAGTCTAAGTTCTTAACAAATCAGATAATCCTATAAAAATTAAAACTATAGCATCTTCCCTGAGTAATTTTTATAAGAAAAAATATAATTTTAACATTTTTGTTAAATTTTAGGGCATAGCCCATCTAAATGCCTCACCATGTAGTAAGCATCTTATATTGTATATCAAAACTGTTTCCATACTTTTCTAGTGTAATAAAGAAAATCTATAAAACAATAACAGCAACTTGCATTTGTATGAAAATTTATAAAGTGCTTTCATATATATCCTTATTTGATCATCAACAAAACTCTCTGAAAAGTAGAGTAAACATGAAAATCATGGGGAGTGAAATCATTTTAGAGCTTCTGGGACCTTAAAATTTTTATTACTCAGTTTCTGTACAGTGAAACTGAGAATCAGAGAGGCTGACATGTTAGAATTCTCATAGCTAGTGGCGGTCATGTCTAGCTCAGTACTTCTCATCCTCACCATACCTAACTGCCTATTCCTGGACGATGGTACATGTTTAGGGAGGTGAAGTGGGCTTCCTGCTCACAGCCCTTAGGGAGACTGTCTAGAGCCACTCCTTCATTCGTTGTCCTGCCACATTGCCAAGTGGGCCCTCTGGCTATGAGTATTACCTTCTTTTTTTACTAGCTTTAGAGTTCTAAGATATATTGGAAAGTAATAATATAAGCAGTATAACTATTTGGAAAAGGTGGGGTTTTTGAGACTGAGGTGTCAAGGAGGACATCCTATTTCCTGAGGATTAATGAACTTATATCTTTCTTTGACCTTTAAATATAATTCTGTTTGTCAGTTGTTAGATTTTTTTAAGGTTTGATTTCCAGTAATTGTGGTATGTAGTCTCCAGTCAAATCAACAGGCTCTGTACAGAGAAGTTTTATTCTGTGTTATTTTATCTGAATCCAGATCACACTCAACCATCTCAAGAGTCCCTGCTATAGGACAGGGGTGTCCAATCTTTTGGCTTCCTGGGGTCACATTGGAAGAAGACTTGTCTTGGGCAGCACATAAGATACACTAATACTAACGATTGCTGATGAGTTTAAAAACAACAACAACAACACCAAAAAAATCTCATAATATTTTAAGAAAGTTTATGAATTTATGTTGAACCGCATTCAGAGTCATCACACGGCCCGTGGGTTGGACAAGCTTGCTATAGAACTAAGTTTTAAAATGTGGATTATTCAGTGATAAAAATCAATCACTGTTGTGGGTAGACAGGGGAGAGAAATCAGCAGGAAGTGTTACTACTGGCAATGGGGTAGTTGTATCATCTTTGCATGTTTATATTTTGAA